GGTCGACAGTGTCAAAGGCCTTGCTGAAGTCCAGAAAGACTACATCCACGGCGACACCTGCATCCAATGCTTTTGTGACCTGATCGTAAAAGGCAATCAGGTTGGTCTGACATGACCTGCCCCTAATGAAACCGTGCTGGTTGCCCTTGAATATCATCCCCGATGCCGGTCCATCACAGATGTGCTCCTTGATGATCTTCTCAAAGAGTTTCCCCAGGATTGAGGTAAGACTGACGGGCCTATAGTTGCCCGGGTCCTCCCTCCCTTTTTTAAAGATGGGGACCACATTGGCTATCTTCCAATCATCTGGCACCTGGCCCGAGCACCACGAGTGCTCATAAAGCCATGCCAAGGTCCCTGGAGGTCCAGTGTCCAGGAGGTCCGGTGCAAGAAGGCTTGATCTCCCTGACCCAGCAGGTGAATGTCTGTTTGCTTGGGATTGGGGGGAGGGCACTCAAACTCATGGCGCTTTATGTAAAGCACCATAAGTTAGAGCAGGGGTCTGTCTGAGCCCTGTGAGACAGAATTGATTTGTATGTACATTGATTTGCATACATGTCTGGTTGTGAGAGGTTGAGAGATCTGGATCTCTTCATCCTATACAAAAGACAGCTGAGGGGTGACCTTGTGGCCCCCTATAAATTTATCAGGGGAGGACAGCAGGGAATTGGGGATGTGCTATTTACCAGAGCGCCCCAGGGAGTAACTAGGAATAATGGGTGCAAACTAGTGGAGAGTAGATTTAGGTTAGACATTAGGAAGACATTTTTTACAATAAGGGTGGCCAGAGTCTGGAATGGGCTTCCAAGAGAGGTGGTGCTGACACCTAACCTGGAGGTCTTCAAGAGGAGGCTTGACAATCACCTGGCTGGGGTTGTCTAACCTCAGTCCTCTTTCCTGCCAGCGGCAAGGGGTAGGACACGATGATCCATTGGGTCCCTTCCAACTCTATAATCTATGAATCTGTGAATCTATGCCATTGTATTTAACAAACATTTTTAGGTAAGAAATTGGCCTAAAAAAGTTGTCATAAACATTTCCATTAGGGCTTTGCGAAGCAGGCTGTATTCGATTCAGATTCGGGGGACAATGATTTGATTAGTTGATTTGGATCACTGTCCCAATTTGATTCGGCTGAATCCAAATCTTCAGATTTGATGCCGTTTCGGAGAATCAGCGATTTGGCCATAGACACAGCTTTAAATGTTTTTTCTACATATCTCAAAGTACCAGGCATGGCTCGTGAATCCTGAGATGGTGGGGCAGATGGAGCATCCCACAGGAGCATGGGGGTATCCCCCACCCACCTCCCTCAGCTCAGTGATTGGCCACAGGGGACCCCGGGTGCCCCCCCAGACCCAGGAGGCATCAGTTACCAAGCCAGGGGGAAAGGGGGGTCCCCCGTGCTCTCCGTGGCGGACTCAGAAGTGGACTGGAAGAGCCTGTGGTCCACTTCTGGGCCCACCACTGAGCATGCTGGGGACCCCCTGCGCTCCCATGGGACGCTCCATCCTCCCCACCATCTCAGCATTCACGAACTGCCTGGTACCTTGAGGTATGTAGAAAAAACATTTAAAACTGTGTCTATGGCCAAATCCTCAAATCTCTCTGAATCGATTCGGAGGTTCTGATTCGATTTGGAGAGATTCTAAATGGTCTCCTGATTCGATTCAGACTCAAACATTCAGCCACCGAATCAGGCCAAATCTCTGCTGAATCAAATCAGCAACTGAAGCTTCATATAGCCCTAATTTCCATACACAGATTCAAGTTCTATTAGAGTTCTTGTAAAGAGGCAGGCTAGATCTAAGGATCTAAAAGCCTCCTCCAATACTGAACTTGAGGACTTGAACTTTCTTTCTTGAGCCAATCTTCTATTTGAAGCTTTCTAATCTTTTATACAATTAAGGATTTTATTAGTTCTATAATGTTGTAAGTGATAGAGGTGCACCGATACATCAGTCCATATCATATTGGCACCAATAAAAGGAAAATTGGCATTATCAGCAATCTTTTTTTTTGGCTGATGTGGCCAGTAATGTTGCTGATAAATGCTGTGTGCATGTGCATAGCCACAGCACGCATGCGGCCAGCCTGGTAGCTTGGAGAGGAGCCTCCGTCTGGTAAGTCTGGTGGTTGTGGGGGAAGGAGCAGGGAGAAAGAAGAGGTGTGTGGGGAAGTAGATCAAGGACCCCGTTGTGAGGGAGGGAGTGGGGCTGGAGCAGGGGCAGGCACTGCCCAGCCGGGGTAAGGCAGGGTGCAGGAAGGAGCCATGAGTAGCTCATCTGGGCAGCGAAGGGCAGGATGGGGGGGCTCCTGCCACTGCACGCACCCCTGGGGGAATTGAATGATGGCGGGGTGCCCCCAGGATCTGTGCATGGGGCGAGGGCGGGCTGCCACTGTGGGCTGGGGGTAGTGCCAGGCTCTTCCCAGCAGGGAGGTTGGGCCAGGACTGCACTCGGGGCAGATGGGGGCCAGCCCCCTCTCCCAGCACCACCACTATCCGGCCCAAGTGCAGCCCCGCCACAACCCCCCACCAGGAAGAGCCCAGTGCCACCCCAGCACCAGCCTGCCCTTGCCCTGTGTATAGATCTGGGGGCACATGCCCCCTATGCCTCCCCCAGGGGTGCATACAATGGCAGGAGCTGCCCCCCCTTTCCCTCTGGTGTCCTCCAGATGAGCTGCAGCTCAGTCCTGCACCCTGCCCTGCCCCAGCGGGGCAGCCCCTGTCCCAGCCCCAGCCCCAGCCCCACTCCCTCCCTCACCACTGGTGCCTTGATCTGCCCCCACTCCACACTCCTTCCCTCCCTCCACTCCTTCCCCTTCAACAGACTTACCAGCCGGACTCTGCTGTCCAAGCTGCCAGGCTGCATACCAGCAACTGGATTGGTACTGGCCAATATGGCTCATCGGCCACCAGTATCAGTCCAAAAAATCTTTATTGGTGCACTCCTAGTAAGTGATCATGAAATAAACTGATTAGTCTGCTTACAGAAATGTGGATAAGCTGTATGCTCATATGTCATTCTCTCCTTGCTTTTTTTCCTGGCAGCTTTGGATGCTTTCCAGTTCATTAGAAATTGTCTTTCCATGTCTTTTATTTCTTTCCCATCAAGAGATTCTGACAAAGAAAAGGGAATATTCATTTCTGTAACAAAATAAGCCAACTAAAAGGTTAAATCATTATAATTATATACATATATATATATATATACACATACATATATATATATATGCACACATACACACACACGCATATAGCTACATACGTATAAACACACACATACACATACATACATATACACACACACATACATACATATACACATGCATATTTATCTTACATATACTAATTATACATTGGCTTTCAACAGTAATTATTTTCATTTTGGTTGAGTTTGTTAGGAAAAAAGGTCAAGTGATATATCTTGAAATGTTTTTAAACGAGTTGCATGCACAACAAGGCACTTTTCAAATGCATGGGAAAAAGACTATCAAGTATTTGCAGTTTTCCAGAAGAATGTTTGACATCTAATTAAGACATGATACTGATTGTAGGAGGTTTTAAAAAGAGAACACATGTTTATACAGAATACACACATACACACGTATGGGCATAAAATGTTTAAAATAGGGTCTAAAGTCTGTCTGCTTTACCCATCCAGTAGTCCCATTAACCTTATTGTGCAAAGAAAGAAAGCAGAGTTTTGCTTTTTATCATTAACTTCACTCTGTCATGCAGTAGGCCAACATTTGTTCTAGCATGCCTGGGTTCCATCCATGTTCCCTAGTCATACCAAATTAAATACCTCATTTGGCTACAGCTGAGTTTAAACCATTCATAAGAACTGTTTTGAAACTCAATTATTTTTCTGGTGTTCATAGGTTCTTTGTTTCTCCGTTAATCTCCATCTAAAATTTAGTACTCTGAGCTAGAGAACAACTAGTACTTCTAATATTGGGGAAAGGGACCCTATCCCTCTGTCTACAGAAGTATTTTTTTTGTTTCATTTGCAGAATACATTCTTTTTGTGGACAGGAGATTAATCAAGCTGATTTCTCCAATGCAAAGATCACCTTCAATAATTACAAATGTGAACTGTGTTCATGTAAAGTTAGGGCTGACAGTCTGGCAGTGCATATCAGTAACCTGCAGGCAAAACAAGAAAGTTTTATCTGTCCCCAAAACAAGCATTACTTAAAAGAAATACCAAATATTAAAGTATTAAAATGCATGTTTCAGGTTCCCAAACAGCCCTGACCCTACCCTACAGTAATTCTAGAGGGGGAAAAGTGAAAGACAAATCCACTTGAAAATCATTTTCACCCAACTGGGACACAAACACAAAAAATGTAAATGATTATTGTGGGGTTATATCACAGTTTCACTAGCTTTTATGTTACAAAATGTACAGGTTTCACAGTAATTGAAAACAATCAAGCCATTATAAGCAATAGGGTTTTTATAAATGATTACAGGGGTGTAGGTTGTAGCCATGTTGGTCTAAAGACATAGGCAGACAAGGTTCTTTGTGTGAATCTGATATCTTTTATTAGACCAACTTAAACAGTTGGAAAACAATTATTAATATGCTTAATAATTGTTTTCCAACTATTTAAGTTGGTCTAATAAAAGATATCAGATTCACCCAAAGAACCTTATAAATGATTATTCAGTTTGAATCTTTAAAAGCTAATCATTTGGCATTAATGTTGATACTATTACGTGTGCTGAGAGAAGTTCCACTGTAATTCAAGGATAGCTAATGTGCCATTTTTAAAGTCAGAAGTGCTCTACAATCTTTATTTTTACCTAGAGTTTGTGATTGCACTATAATCCTGTCCCTATATTTTGGTTTGTGGCAAACAGGATTCCCCTTAAGATCCAGTAGGCATAGCTTGGTCCATTTATTCAATACAAATTCCAAATCCTGCAATTAAACAAAGAAAACAACAACATAATTATTTCTTTGTCTGGAGACTAGAGGTAACAATTCAATAACAGTAATACATGTTGTTCAGTTAGGGGTAAGCCTGCAAAGAATCCTTTATGGGACTTCTTATACAGTACTTGTAAAATGAAATATAAGTGTTACAGAACTGGGACTTATAGCACTGTTTGAAAGCATCACAACATTTTTACACAAAAGAAATTTAAGATAATGAGAAAAAAGGTTCTCCTTCCAGGATATAACAATGCCACTTGTAGACAATTACCACTGTCATCATACTTCCAATGGACTGACACTGGCAAAAAAAAAGAAAAAAGGAAAACAAGAAAAATGTCTTTAGTAAGTAATACATGCATTTGTCCCATACTGAACTGACATAGATGAAAAGGAACCATAAAAAACCCTTGAAAATATAGCTTGACTTTTGTAGGCTTCAGAAATTTATGGGAGAGTGGAAATTTTAAACAAAAATTGATTAAAAATAGACTTACTTTGGCAAACCATACTGAACAATATAATTATTTATTTTACAAGACAAACTAACTCCCTCACATATCTGTGGGTGGCCAGTTATAGTCTTGGCCAAAATACTGAAACTTTTTTAAATACACTTTTCTCTAACCTGGGTTTTTTTCTAGTTAACCAGGGACATTATGACCTACATCTAACTTTTTTTGTCATTCATTCTAATTTATTGTATTTGAAAAAAGACTTAAATCCTATCTACAGGTGTTTAGCAGGTTGTTCTCTTCTATTTAAAGAGCCTACTTTTTAAAATACAAATTTCAAAAACTTTTCAGTGTTAATTTATATAAGTATCCATATATTATGTGGCTGTATGGAGGCTTTGGTGAGGGATCTTAAAGAATGTGTGTGAATGCAAGGGAAGGAGTTGGTAGTGCCAGAACTTGGGTTCTACAGTTATCTTTTTTTTTTTTAACAAACAAGGCTCCAGGGTCCCATGTGCTAGATTGCCCTAACACACTGTCAAGCTGGTATATGGGGTTGCTCTGCAACTGGATCCAGGTGTGCACGGTTAGGCCAGTGCATGACTGGATCTGGCACGTGAGGCTGGGCCTGAACACTGGATCTCAACCACAGACCGATCCTGCACTGGATCCAGCCTGTGGGCTAACCCTGTGTACAGGATCAGGCCCTTGGACTGGCCCCATGCCACTCATCTGGCTCGCAGGACTAAAAGGTTGAGCATCACTGGTTGATAGTTAGCACAAATTGGTAATGAAGTAAAATATTTGCTCATGCAAACTCACGGTGCCTCCTTCATATTCATGTGGAAAAATGAGTAACTATCACCCTGTGATTTGGGTGACACTGGAGGGGAGAGGATTGCCTCTAGAGATCACTCCATTCTCCCTTCAATCTGGGATAATCTCTGTGAATTTTCCTGTAGGTACAAGACTCATGGGTAGAAAATGAGGGAATACAAAAATGGTAGCATAACCCTCTTTTGCCCTTAACAAGAACCCATAAGTATTCTGCAGAAAGGTTAGTATTGACATGTACTTTTTCAGTTTGGACCTCTGAGGACAGTTCTTGTTTATTAGCTGGTGGGGAGCTCAAAACAGTTTCTGGAGCAGCTGTGTGGACAAGAGTGCAGCAGGAAGCCTTAGAGAGGAGAAATGCTATGTGGACACAAAAGACTCTTCTTATGGAATTTCCCAGTCCTACAGGGCAGGTGTCAAACTCCCATGGCCCTCTGGGCTGAATCCTGACTGCAGGGCTCCTCATGGGCTGGATCCAGACTGTGAGGAGCCTCATGGACTGTATCTGGACCACCTCCAGTGGTGGGGCAAGCAGCAGTGGCATTAAACACCACGGGTTTCTGAGCTGCAGGAAATAATGCAGGCATCACTTGCTCCTCCACTGACAACACATTCCAACAGGACTCCATTCACCAGAATTTTGCAGTACACCCTGCCCCTAAATTACCAGCCCTTCCAGGAGTCCCCAGGTTGGCTGATACAGTTCCAGGGGTAGTATCCAATCCACAGGCTATGTGACACCTCTGCTTTAGGGGAACAGTCCAGCAAGGCAAACACTGTCTGTTCTACAACAGTGGAGGCCAACCTATTTGGCAGGCATGCCACAAATCAGCCTTACATCCTCCTCTGATCCTCTTCCTCTGCCTGATACGCTGCTGTGCTCCCTTGTCCCCTCCCTGAACTGTTGCATGCAACACACAGAAGCTGTCTATGCCACTTGTGGCATGTGCACTACAGGTTAGTCACCTCTATTCTAGAACATTAACTTACGAAGACTCAAACAGTTTTTTTCTGAATAATACTGTGATAATATTTTTAACTGATTCAGTGCATCTGCACATATTTACACACATGCTATCTAACTTCAGGGGAAAATAATAATTTGTGTTGAACTTATAAGGAAAGAATGTAATATTGATTTAAGAGTTATTATTATCAGGTATTCTCTTAAAATATTTGACATAGTTTTCAGATTTCATTTTAAATAATTCATTCAATTAATGTAGGACTTTGTAACACAAAACTGTATAATACTTAAAACCATAAAATGTATACAACCTAAGTTTGATAAATGTACACAAAGAGTCCTGTAGTTTTTGTTAGTTGTTCCTCACTTGATAAATGACCCAGAACATGCTCACTCCAGTATATGTTTATCCAAGAGCACACTAATCCTGTGCTGAAATATGATTAGTCTTTCGATACGCTCTAGTTGTTCATTGCCTTCCTGTCTCTAATAAAGTGCTTTCACTTCCCAGCCTTTCAATAAGCTGTACTAAAGGGACCAGACACTTTTCTGGGCAGTCTCTGTTTGATAAATGATCATGTCATGCTATCACTTTGAGGTCTGCTACAAAATACTGAAGAGCAAATTATATTCCATATATAGGGGAGGTGAGTGCCTCAGTAGGCAGCTGTAGTACTGGCAATAACCTTCTTCGCAATTAATGATGGCTATTTAAGAACCAGTATTTGACCGGTGCGCTCCAGTTTTTATTGGAAATGTCTAGCTCAACTGCCCTAACTACATCTACAGACAGCAATTTGTCACCACTCTGACTACCTGTCATAATCTATTTGAGAAAATCTATAATTTTTCTCTTGTTCCTGACTGAACTGTGAAGTGAATGAATTCATCTTTTTTGATATCCTCTGTCATAATCAATATTGGGCAGAGGTTGAATAAATTAAAGACTTTGAAAATACAGATGATTTTATAGGCTTATTCAGTAATATTTTCTATACCAAATATAACACATTTGTATATACACTCTTCCCAAAATAAAGGTTTAACAGAAACAAGTTTCTATAAATTTCTGATCCATAGAAATATTTACAAAAGTATTTTGTAAAAGTCTAATGGAAAGTGTTTTTAAAGCACATAAAGCTTTCCTTCAACATATGCACTCAAATTATAAAAGCATCCCGATAGTATTTTTTAACCTTACTAGAGACAAGAGTGAAAAAGGTAAGCCTACTATTTCATTGCTCAGGCTGAGAGAAATTAAAGAGTTAAACAGGCCACAAAAACAGAATAATGATAAACGGTATGTTAAAAGTACACTGTTTAAGTCAATCTATTTTATTTAAAAAAAATGAAGTTAAAACCATTGTACTACATCCCCACTGCTGTTTTTGTGACTCCATACTTACATTTTTCCATTTAAAAATATTTTTCCTCTCTTGTTGTGTGAGAACATTTATTAAGAAAGGAAAACTGACCAATTAACAAACCACCTACGGGAAAGAGCAAGACTGGTAAAATACAATACAAACAACTAGACATAAAGTAGCTTTTCTCTGATCTCTTTCAGTTATAGGAATATTAGGTATAACTTGCTATAACAGTAGATTAGACAATTTTCAGGTAGAAATTTGAGTTTTAAATCAAAGGTGTCCTTTATATTGTATTTAGTTGGTTTCAGGGAGCTGGATATAAAACAAGTATATGAGAATTGTTACAACCATAAAATTGGTTGGCAAGAACTGCAGAAAATAGTCTACATCTTCACTGTTCAGTTGCTTTTAGGGCAGTTCAGATCTTATCCACACATCTAAAACGGGATCATCTCCCTTGATGTCTGTTAATTATATTGACAATTCCCTTAATTATATGAGTTAATTGGCCCAATTCGCAATTATCCTGAGATAATGGTCATCAGGAATGGAAGCTGAAGGGGGGGTGGGAAAGGCAGGTTTACTGTGACAGCGTAACAATCTCAAATGAAAATGTTTATGCTAAAAGAGAAAGAAAATGGATATAGATATACTAGATAAGCCTCATACAAACATGAGAGAGGCATATAAGGTGACTTATATCCCCAGGCTGTGTTATTCCTGTCACTATTCAGTCTCACCTAGAAACCTCGATGGCTATCTAGATATTCCACCTCTCCTCTGCCTGCTATTTCTCCCAACTGCAGTCTTTGAAGCTTTCCAAATTTATGTTAGGGCTAGTACTATTATAATCTATTTGAATAATTTAAATAAAAATAATAGTAACCAGTACATATTTACTACTGAAACCTTAAAGTCAAACCACGTAACTGCTGGAAGTCACCAACTAATTAAGAAGAATCAGATATTAAAGTACTAACCCAGCTTGTGCTGTGGATGCTGTGAAAATATTTTTTTCATTTCAGTTTATTCAACTTAGTTCAGTTCAATAATTAGGTAATTCAAAGTTGAGAAATTGACTGGAGTTGAAAAAAAGCATCTAAGCAAAAACAGAAATGCAGCATTCACCATAACAGTAAATTAGAAAATTTGAAAATTAATCCAAGTAAAAGTACATTAAGCTATTTAAACCAACACCCAAAATTAACTTATGGCACACAGTTTGAATCCAGCCTGCAGAGCTCCCCATGGGTCCAGAAATGTGGTGGCTGTGGAGTGGTGGCAGTGTTAATCAGTGCAGCTCTGATGGCAATTAATGCTACCATCACTCCCCCACCGCCAAATTTCTAGACCCAAGGGGAATCTCAATAGTGTAACTGGGATAGAGGGGGATGGGGAAGAAAGAGGCAACCAGGAAAGCAACTACTGTCTTTGTGGACAGTAGCAAAATAATCACTGCAGTTACAGCACCACTGCTTCCTTGTGTGTCGTGGCTGCCTCAGGCAGAGAGCTGACCCCTGTGCTTCTGGGGAGTTCCAAGGGCCTCACGGGCCAGCATGCAAGGCTAGTCCGTGGGTACAATCCAGTCATGGGTTGACCCTGCACACTGGACCCAGCCTGTAGACCAGCCCCGTGTGCTAAATGTGGCAACTGGCTGACCCTGTGCACCAGCCTGACTCAGCCCCTTCAACTGGCCTGTGGAGCTGAATAGTTTGGGTACCATGGTTTAAATAAATGTTCACAGACAGGGTGTGGCCTACTGGTTAGACCCCCCCCAGCCCCCCTAATTTAATGTAAAGACTACAGACATCAACATATTTAAGAGTTACCAACATATATGAAACACACACACTATAAGAAAATAATATATAACTAAAAATACTTTAATCAAGGTTCCTGTTTACTGGCTTAAATTATTATTGTTAAAGTCAGAAATCTATATTAATCCACCCTGATATTTATTACAGCTTTTAAAATTAGGCTTTGTTCTAAATACAAATGGCCTAAGCCAGTGTTTTCCAAACCTTTGATACACAGGCACCTTTTTCTGAATTAAAATTGGTAGCACACTTCACTCTTTCACCCAAAAAGGCATATAGATTCATTAAAAAAATTAAACACATTTCATTCCCAGTGCTGAGATGTACTGTTAAACAATAACTCCATAACTTTTCTTAATTTCAAGGAACCCCAGTTGAAAATCAATGAGATTGACCCAAGTTCAGAAAAGGTACAGGCAAGGGGCCTGGGACTAAAAAACTTGAGAATCATTGACCTCTAACTACAATTCATTCCATCCAGAAAGAGCACACACCAACTGCAGATGCTTCTTCAGCCTGACGAAGAGTTCTTAAACCCAAAAGCTTGCTAATAATTTTTTTCCCCCAACTATTTGAACTGGTCTAATAAAAGATATCAAATTTACCAAAAGAACCTTGTCTGCCTATTAAACTATACATGCAATGTGTACGTGTACTTATTTATTTATAGTGTTCTTCTCTGATACTTCCTGCCTGTATTATTTTAGAAATTATAAAACCTGAGCACACTATCCAGTTTCAATCTCATTGTTGATTACTGTTAACACGAGACAAGATACTGCTTAAATTTTCCATGTTCTTTTTAATATTAGTTGGGTAAAAATGTCACATCGTTTAGAAATAATGAAGTAAATCCCACTTGCTCCTTCTGATAAGATAAATTCTACCATAAAAATATGGGGCTGGTAACTTACATAATATATTTGATTTAAATGATACTCGTTACTGAAAGGAAGAAGTATAAACACATTCAAAGCACCACTTTATCTTATTACTGAAACACCTTAATGATTGTTACTAAATAAGGACACTTGTGCATGCAGCCATTAAGGAAGTTCTTCTCCAAAAGCGTGTATCCTTAATGAAAGAAATTCACCAGCTATGTTCATATCTGATGCTTCTTAAAATGATACTGTAAAAGTAATCAGAAAGAAAATAAGTGGTATAACACTAAAATCAGAAGAATGGTTGAGGTACCAGTAGCCTGATATGATATTCAATGATACCAAATGCTGAATAGGAATAGGGAGTTATGACTTTAATACACTGATGGCACGCAGCCTTTCATCCTGGGTCCAATTCAAAATCCACCAAACCAAACAGAAAAATTCCCATGTTTCAATCACCTTATGATCAGGCTCCTTAATTAGGCACACAATTAATTAATAGAATAAATTAAGTTTCACTTGAGTATTTAAATTCATTCACAATAATGTTAAATCAAAATAACCATATTCAATTCACACTAAATAACAAACGCCTTCAATTAATACCTGTATAAGGTGAAGTTGGTTGTCAACTGCTATAAGATGGGAAATATTTTGCAGAACTGCTAGCTCTTGCAATTCATCTATATTGTTATTACTGATATTCAACACTGACAACGATTTCTGGAAGAGAAAGAAGGGGGGAAGTAACAATTATTTCTTCATACTGAAAAATGCAATAGTAAGTTCTTTCCCAAAATTTTACCATCAGGTTCACGAAGTGAATTTCACAAAGTTTGATTATAACATGTAAATGCAAATCTCCACGACTGTTTTATAGTCTACATAATATTTTATGCTGAATCTGCATCTGCTCTTTTTTTAATCGAAGAACTTACAGGGTGTCTTTACACATGCTCTGTCTGGGGTGTGTGTGTTGGGAGGGGGGCCGTTTTAATTAGAGTGGCTCTCTTTAATTAGAGTGGCTAATGATAGCACCAGCAGCATCTCCTGTATTCAGCATCCTGTGCTTCAAAGCTCGTTACCATTTTGAAATGTGGGGACACTGAATACACATGATGCCGAGGCGCTGGAGTGTGCTAATTAGAATGCTCCAGCAGACTTGATTAATTGAGTCTGCTCTGATGTTTTCAAATTAGAATGAAGCAGAGCAGGTATCAGGCACGTATATAGGTGCCCAATGATTCCTCAAAAGAGTGCAACTTTGGTCAGGAAGTCAACAGTGTTATATCACTATTGTTTACATTATTTTTGATACCCATATGATTTTTTCACCTGAACGTTTCAATGCTTTACAAAGTTGTGTAAATTTCATTAAATTTCTAAAGAACTGCGTTACACAGAGGAAAAAGACATAAATCCATTGTTTGGTTACACAAAGGAAAAAGACACATAAATCCACCAGGTCACCAAAACGTGGGTTCCAAAGCAAGGACCAAGGCAAAAGGGCTATGCATATAAAAAAAAAAGAGGTATGTATATAAAAGATTTGCAATAATAGTCTGAAAGGAAGGCAGCATAATCCAGTGGTTAAAGCAAGACACTCAGGAGTCAGACATGGATTTTAGTTCTGGCTTTGCTATGAATTTGGGGTGTGACCTTGGGTAAATCAGTTCATTTCTTTGTCTGTTCTCCACCTGGAAACCAGTATGCCATTTTCCCTGGTCCTTGCTTTCCAACACACTTTTTGGTGACCTTTTTGGTTAATCAAACAATAGATATGTATGACTTTTGCCTTTATGTAACATGTGATTCTTTGGAAAATTAAGAATGGGGTAGTTTGTAAAGGAAAACTCTTACAGAATACCTACAATGATTCTTGCATTCTAACTCAAAACTAAGTACTTCAGATATTTATCTCAGTTAGGAAAGTATTTTCTGTAGGTAAACATAAAAAGAACAAAGGAGTGTTTTATACGAACACAGAAAAAAACAGCACCTTGAACCAACACATTCAAAATCTAGGCCAGATACAGAATTATAAATTGAACAATATTTGCTTCAGTGGTATGGATTTGGAAGCCCAAACCCTTTCTAGAACTTGATTCGGGGCAGTGAGATCAACATTTCAGGAAGAAATTTTACCACCACTGTCTTGTAACACAGACATGGAAAAAAAACAAACTTCCCAAACAAGTGGTCCATAGATGATTGTTGGTACTCCTTGGAGAGATGGCTAGTCATGTATTTTTGGCCCTTGTCCTCATTTTCTAACCATGAGAAACAAGAACAGATGAGAGAGGGAAACAAGATGAAAAGCAAAAATAGAAAGTACGACTGGATTGTACAAGGATGACAAAACATTCATCATTCTAAAAATGGCTAAAAATTAATACATTTTTTCTACATGTAAAAAAACTGAACTTCCACAAGGATGCTAGCTATTCTAAGCCTTATAAATAGGGTAGGATATAAAGCTAAATAAATAAAATAAATAATGATCCAAATGAGAGGTGGGTCCATCATCAAATTTTACTGCAAGAAAGAACATATGTAACATGTAGAACCAGTCAACGACTAGTGGGTCTGAGCCAGAAAAATTCAAAATGCATCAGAATGAGTTACCACATTGAACGAAGAAATATTTGTATACTGTCTCTTCACTTCCACAAAAATGCTTTTGTAGAAAGGCTCCTTTTAAATAAGGGAAGGTAATAAATAAGATTCATATGGCACAAGGAATACACCTTGGATGGCTTTCCTCTCACACTGCTAAATGCTTATGCAGCTAATCAGACCACATATACATTAACTAGAACAGAAGCATCCACTTTTATTTTCTAATTATATGTGCATTTATTATCTATCCTATCCCACTGAAACATGGAATCAACACTTACTCACTGCCTAGAAAGCACACAAACTGAACCTTTCAGATTCAGGGATGAACTGAACACCTGAGGCAATGTTTGTCAGGGCACATGAGTAAACAGAGATTCTATCATATAAACATATGACTATATAAACCAACCATCTATTTTTTACTTAAAATTAATATGTTAGTCACAAATTACAAAGACAGGCCAGTATCAGTATGCAGTATCCTAAAAATAGTTACTTTCAGATAGCAAAGCCTGGGGAAAGCTGTTACAGAAAGATCTAATGCTCCTGATTCATACCTAGAAAATAGTCTATTGTGACATTTTACTGTGCACTGCCAGGAGAAATGGGCAAAGTAAACTAATAATCTGAATCTTCACTAACGCTAAAAATATTCTGGTGAACAAGTTACTGAAGTATCCATACAGGAAATCAAATTACAGATGATTTATCCTCAGCTCTTCAGAAGTAAAGTTTTGAAACGATAGTTGCTCATTTTTTAAAAATTTAGATCTTTTATTTCTTTCATTGTTATCTTCCCCAAGATATTGTACAAAGGTTAAACGAAAGCAGTGACTTGATTTTTCTTTCATTTTCACTATAAATGTCATGCCTTGAGTAGGCACTGTGAGTATAACTCCGCCCCACAAGGTCAGGGTCCCCCAACTTGTCTGCCACGACTTGTTTGTTATGTAAAGAAGGAGGGGGTTCAGTGGTGTTCTCTTTCACTATAGACCCGAAGACGGGGTACTTGCAGGTGTGCTGCGGTGTTCCTCGGGGCTCCGCCTCCCCTACACCCTGTCCACTAGCCAACCGCTCGGGTATTCAGATCTTCGCCCCGACAATGTCAGCCCCTTGACTATGGGGTCTGGTGTTGACTTTGATAATCTGGCCCGCCGCTGGGATGTTGATAAGCCTAGAGTGTCTGGCATCCTCCCTGAAAGAGACACCACTTGAATGCTTTAAATGTTGAGGGGCTGGGAACTGCCCGTCCCCAGCCTGGTGCCCGACACTGCTCCTGCTCTTTTGCCGCAGGGCAGTACCTCTCGTGCCACCACAGCCAGCACCTGGAGTCTCTGCCTGGCTGGCGCACTCCCAGCGGACTTCCTCCCCACTGCTGGCTTCTGGCGGGGTTTTTAAATTCCCTGCAGCGGTGGCGCCAGCTGCTGCAATCAGCTGGCCACTGCCCCACCTGGGAAGCAGCCGCTTGAAGAGCCGGCAAAACGCCAGCTCGTGCAATTCTTGCCCATGAGTTTCCTGGGGTGTGGGTGGCTCTCCTTTCCCCTTTGGGAATGCTGGGGCTTGCCTGTGGGGGTTTCTCACCACCACAATAAATTATTTTTTGGGAATTGGGGAAGCTACAAAGCCGTGTGTACCAGAAGTGCAAGGAATTCGAACTGCATTTCATACACTAAAGAAACTGGTCATTCTTTCATAAGGATTTTTTTCCATAATCCCAAACTCAGCTGGTAGCTGTTTTATTAGATCTATGTATGACTCCTGGAAAAGTTTGCAAGCTCAGAATGAGACATGAATGACTGATTTCTCTGCACTAAGTTTCCTGATTCACCCTTTTTCAACTTATTGACCTTTTTTTTTTTTTTTTTGTTAAACTCAAAGACTGTACCTACTACGTGAGGCAAACCACCTCCACAGGTAGATGAGAAAATGAAACACTCCAGTTCAGCATTAAAATGGAGCCCTTATAAATGACAAAAAGGAAATTCAGAAAGTATCAAACCTTCCACACTAAATCCCTTCACAATTTTAATACAAGTCTCCTGTCAACTGCCTGTCAGAAAACTCAAATAGGTGCTTACTGCAAGGGAATGAAGGGTTCTTGGATCAAATAAGAGCTTTTCTCCAAGGGATAGCTGTTGGCTTTCAACATGCAGTTCTCTCAATTCTTCTAGCTTATCCAAGCCCTCTATTAGAGTGATGCAATTGCCCCCCAGATACCTATAGCAAACAACATGAATGGGACTTAATTTGACACAATTTGAGGGTAAAACACAATACCAATCTACTCTCAGTTCGCAAAACAAGAATAAATTCTTTATAGCACTACCAAACAATATTATTTAATAAGTTAAAACACAGTAAATGTACATAAATAGCCTTGCATGAGACTACACTATTTACAGACTAATAAATATAAATCCATTTTACACGTTCTGTTATTCTATAGGTAATAATATTATTAAAGTGTCCAGACAAAGGACTGTTTTTAGTGGATTATAATGTTAAACTTACTCTAATACCCATCACATAATGGTACACAAGATCACAAAAGGCTTGAATGGAAATATAAAACTACAAGTGCATTTGTGATTTGAGTAACAAATTTAGCATCATGATGAGAAAAAGACCTTAATGATTAATTATTAAATATTAACATAAGTCTAAATTATTTCCTATTCTTAAAAATAAAATTATTCTCACTTACAGTTTCTCAAGTTTTTTCAGTGATATGAGGTTCTCTACACGTGAAATACAGTTGTTCTGCAGATACAGATGTTTTAGATTTGAAGCAAAGTCCAAATTATGTATTTGCCTAATTTGGTTGTCATACAAATACAGGACATTAAGATTTCTACACAAAGAGAGATCACCCTGAAAGGAAAAAAAGAAAACAAGGAATACTAAATGCAGCTCCTTAATCATCAGCTTCTGAAATCTGGCGAATACTTTTGCATTAAATTCAGTTCTGCCTTAGGATTTAACTGTAAATTTTCACATTTGACAAACACTTTAAATTTAAAAAAATCTGCCTCAAAGAAACTGCAGTCCACTTCAACATCTCAATAACATAAGAGAAAACAATTTCATGGGAATTAAAACATAAAAATGATGGATTACACAAAAACTTAAATTTCTATGTATTTTAGTGTACTTTATTCAGATTACACCAAAATCTGAAGTTTTCTTTTACAGTATTTTTAAGCAAATTGAAATATAGAAATTCCATGAGCATACTTGAAATATTTTTAAGTATCTAGTATTGTAATATATAAATATCCAATCCTGCAACTAAATCTATCTGGACAGATACCTGCACCTGTGTTGGGTATCACTGTCATCTGAGAATACCAGACTTTGCCTACATTAATCTGGCTCTAAGGCTTAATGTTTTCACTATTGAAAATAATGTTTTTTCTAGGTGTTTTTAAAATAAATTCCTGAAATCCTTGTATTTAGCTACTCATGATCTAGCAATTTCAACACATGTTCAGTATTTTGAGCTCATCAGGCCTACCCTTGGTCCTAATTAAATCAATTACAAAGTTCAAAGGCAACAGACTGGACTCAGGTTGCACTCTTTAAAGTGCTGCATGTTATGTTAAAAACTGAAGGAGGCAATTTAACTCACTAACAAACATTCTAATCTGTACATTTTCGGTAGCCACAGGACTGATCCAAATCTGTTTGCATCATTACCTTTACATGACCTATGCCCCATTCCTTCTCTTTCTCTAAAATAGAGGGAATTTGCAAAGATTCTGCTATGAGTTAACTCCTCTGTAAGATTCCCAACAGAGGAAAAAATAAATCTGTTAAATAATGAAATTAGTGCTGTATTTTAAGAATATCTACTATCATTATTACTTCGCTATACATCATGAAAAATCTGAGCTGCAGGTTCATGATTTTTCTCCCTTCCTTAATAACTGTTTCATTAACACATATATAAACGCTTGTATTGCAACATCAAACCAATATTCCTGACCTGGATTAGGCCACAATGTAAACAAGTTGTGCTTTTATAATCTAAACCATTTAAGAATATGGTTGGATTTTGGTATGGGTAGAGTGCTATCAAAGCTGTCGAGCACTAGCACTACATTATCAAAAGCCTCAAAGTCCTACTCCACTAACTTCTACAATTATTTATAAATAGGTAAAATTATAATTTTTCATTGTTCTCTCAGCATCCATTCAGGTGATTTTGCTATGATAGTTACTGGAACAATTTCAATGACATACAGAAGGCTCATTTTAATATATATGTCACTTTTTAAATGTAAAAGTAGTTCTCCAGCTGAAAGCCTGACATGGATAATACTCTGTCCCCAGGATCACTGTGAGAGTGAGGGCAAATATCAAGCCAAAAGAGGAAAATAAATAATAAATAAATAATTGCTTGTATACAGTTTTATCTTTTATTATTAACAACAAAATTAATTGGCACATCAACACATCTGTCCATTGCTTCAGATAACGGTATAGGTTTTATTTCCATACTTCAAAACTTTCACTGACTTTCTGTATTGAAAAAAAAAGCAAAACTCATGGATCAGGTCAATGTTGAAGCCCTCTTGTTGATGAAAGGGAATTATGAAATTCAAGGTGTGTGAATATATGGAAGAATTACAAGTACAAGCCTTTGCTATAATCTTATTTTGTATATTCCATGTATCTGTAAGTTAAAAATCTATTTTACAGGATGCCAAATACAAGTTGGCTCTCCCACAGTTTCAATATTTT